GAAGTTGTACCAGCACATCTGGAGCCTAAGGAGGTCACCAAGGAAGAACCAATTGAGCCTGAGGCCATACTAGTTGAGGAGGTTGGAGAAGGTGAAGGTGGTGGTGACAAAGGACCTTTCAAGGAGGAAGAAGTGAAGGAGGAGCCTCCCCTGGTGTTGAGGTGTCATCAATGGGAGATAAAAAACGCTTCGGGGGAGAAGGAGACTAAGAAGCAAAGCAAAGGCAAAGGGCGTGGGCGTGGCCGTGGGGGTCGGCGTGGCAGGAAACAGGCAGAGCCTGAGGTGATTTGTGATTCCGATGAGGAGGAGGAGGAAGGTGGTGAACCACCAGCCAAGAGGCAAAGAAAGAAGACTCCATGTGCAAAGCCAAAAGCCAAAGGGAAGGCAAGAGCCAAAGCCAAGGTCTGTGCGACCGAAGCTTCCAGCCTGCCCGATGGTGGTTCAGATTTGGCTGAGGACGGGAGTTTGGAAAATCATGACATACCGGTTGCTTGGTGTCTTTTGTCACTGGAAGGGGTTGAAGAACTCAATCGTGTCTATGGGTGGGGTCCCTGCGCACTGCAGGGCAAAGGGGAAGGTGATGGTGAGGTTGCTGGAGCGAAGGGTCTGAAGCGGAAGATCGAGACCCCAAATGAAGTTGATGAGGAGAAGCCAGAAAAGCAAGAGAAGGAGCATATCAAGAGCTTTGCAAGGCGTCCAATGCCTCGAAGCAACCCTGCGCAAAGCAGGTGGACAGCGATCCGGGATGTTTTTCATGACCAGATCCGGCAATATTTGGTTCAGTATGGATTCGCGAACTGCAGCAGCTGGGAGGCAAACGATTCAAACCTGTTGTGTTATTGGGCCTTCTCTCTCGATGTTAAATGTCTAATTTTTAATATTTTTGAGTATAGATCCCCAACCTGCCCTTCGATTCCCCTGGAGGCTGAATGGTGGAATTCCTGCATGGATGCTTTGCAGAACCATGCCCCGGCCGATGCCAAAAAGGGTGAGATCAAGTGCCCTGCCTTGGATTTCCCGAAGCTGGTTGCAGAACATGCCCAGGTTTACCTCGAGGAGACTTGTCTGAGGATGGAGCCAGAGAGCCCGTAGATCGATCGATGAACTAAAGACCTGGTGGACATCCGGGTATATGTGTTATCAAACACATGCTTTAATTTGTGTGTCTAGTGCAGCCATCCCTGGAATCAAAGTTGATTGCAGCATTTGTTAAACATATATGCCATCAGAGTTTCTTATTCAAGAGTTTCTGTTACAGGGAGATGGTTTCTGCAATGTTTGAAGCGAGCGATCATTTTGTGGCACTGCCTTATGGCAGTGATGCCGTGCAATTTGTTTGCATGCACATGCACCTGCGTGTATGTCTATACGCAGTCCCTGTCTCAACTCTTTAGGTGAATCGTGTGGTGGGAGACATGAACAAAAGGTACTCTGGCTGAGAATCTTCCGGTCCAAGAACATATTGATCAAAGAAGTTTTCCTCTGACTTAAAGTTCATATAGTGTGGCTTCTCCTCATGCATATGCGATTGCAACCCCCCCCCCATCGATCTATTTGGCCAGGTGGTGATCCGCTCCTACATGTACGGTGTGCGGAGAGGGTGTGTCGGCTTTGCAAAATATGGGATTGGATCTACAAGTTCAGGTGACACTGGCGAGACTTCTGAAGAAGAAAACAGCAAATATATTTTAAGATTTCAGTTGTCTTTCAGCATTCATGTGGTGGGCATTTGAACTTTTGGAGTTATCATGTTCAAGTGCTATAAAGTTGGGCTCAATTTTAAACAGTGTGACACCAACCCTGTGTGCAAAGTAGCATGCTATGCAAATGCAAACAACTGGATTCAAGTCCACTTGAAAGTGCGAAACAGTCATACAAACACTGCATCCTCCGCCCTGCAGCAATGACGCCTTCCCAATTTGATATCTTGCTCCAAAGGCTTATAGCGATGGAAACACCAAAGGATTCTTGGATTTTCATTCAAAAACAAATGAGTGCATACAATAATCTTCCTTTGGGGGGGCTGGGTCGCTTGTACGCCCTTTGCCTTCCAAGGTGGTTGTCTTCTTGGTCATCTTGGTTTGGCACCTGGATATCCCAAAGCCTCCTCAAGAATATCAGTTTCTAGAGTTTTATGCGAGAGTAGGGCGAATCGCGACCTTGGCCAAATGGTGTGGCTTCGCCACTGCTGCTGTTGATATTCGGTATGGTGCACACCGTCAAAGGGAGGGTAAACGGCGACCAATGGATATCAACGGCAACGCTGGCCTCGTGTTCCTTGTTTTCTTTGGTGCTTCTTTGTGTTCGTTGATGTGAAAAAACATGTTTTGGGTATTCCATGCCTGTCTTGCTTTTTTGGGGCCAAGGCTTTGCATTCATCTACTTTTGACTTCACAGTGGGAGCAACTCGTGGCCTTCTTTGCAATCGTTTGTTCGTCCTATGTGCCAGTAAACAGGCACAGCACAGGGAGACCACTGTTGACTCCTCTGGGAAATGAACATTTTATAGGAGTGAGGCGATCCAACAAGATGACCTCGAGGACATGGCATTGGGTGGCTAACATTGTACATGCATGGATGTGTGTGCATATGCAATGCTTTCCTTTAAACTCTAAAGGTCTTTGTCTGGTCCAGGACTGTGATATTGATATGGATCACTATTCTCTCAGGAGGAACGTATCTCATGGAAAACCCTCATGGGAGTTTTCTCGCCTTTCATCCTCGGTACGTATGGATGCTTAAAAAGCTCGAGGCTGTTGGTATTCTGGTGTCTTGACCAAAGTCCATGTTTGCTTTTTGCAATCCCACAAAAACAAAGCATCAACTCTGAAGTTGCATGTGAAACATTGCAATTGCTTACCACTAAGACTTACAAAACCGCCTTTTGGATGCGGAAATATGGCTCAATCTCTTGGAAAAGAACATGGGTGTGGGCAAACAGTCGCCGCATTGGATCCCTAGACTTGGGGCCGTTGACGGAGGAAGAAAAGGAAGGTTGTGAGGAAACAACTATCCGTTATGAGGATGCCCAAGGCAAGATCCGTTGGAAAGGTAATTCCAACCTCAAGCTGACACAGTACCCTAACTGGAAAAGGTCAATGTGCACGATTTGTTTTTATTCTTCTATATCATCCGGTTCTACATGAACCCCCACGTTGAACACACACATCGCACACCGTTCCCAGGCAATACACCTTCAAATTTGCTGGCACCGTGACCCGATTGCTGCCAAAGATCCGCGAGGACACCAGGTCTCAGAAGTTTCCTGCCAAGGCCAGGAGTCTTCAAGAAGCTTCCCCACCCTGCATGGAACTGGATCACACGCAATCCGTAACATCCAGTTTAGATGGAATCCAAATGGTGCATTTGA